GGAGCCCACCTAAGCCACATTTCTGCAAAGAAAGCAATAATTGAAGAATTACAAGTTTAGCACTCTCTCCAGATGCCTAAATCCATGTACTGGACATCGCTCTTATGTTAGCTACTTTGTCCCCTTCATTTCTTAACCAAAGAACTGTAAACTTGGCAAGGTTAAATAGTTGTTAAAGGCTGCACACCCTGGCATTGCACAATATTCTGCAACAACTGGACCTGGAACTCAGAACCTTCCTCCCAACTGGGCTGGGAAGCAGATGAGAAATTACACCAGCTTCAGGGTGGGGGAGGTTCGATGTGATAGGTCAGAAGCAATTCTTAAAGGAAGCATCAACAAGTCAGAAAAAAAAAATTCAGTCTAGGATGGATAAGAAATGAAAGAGAAGAACAGTGTAAGGACAAGTGCATAAAAGATATAAACAGATGGTCAACTTGAGTGCAAAAGGATGGACTGTGTGCCAGGGGTCTGCCCACTGAGAACTGAGGGAATGTGGCAGGAGTGTTAGAGGGGTACTAAAGCAGAAGGCAGGCTCACAGGAGCAAGATTGAAGAGCAAGAGAAGAATAAGACATTCAGGTCCTGTGATTAGATGGACATAGTCTGATCCGTGACCCCAGTGGCAGGAGTGCCTTTGTATGGACTTTTTTCCAGCTGTTTTTCTCAATTTCCTTCTGCCATCCTTTGTTCAATCACTTTGCTCAAGTTTTATTGTCAATAATCAAACTGGCTTAGGCTGGGTGTGGTGGCGCACACTTGTAATCCCAGCACTCAGGAGACTGAGACAGGAGGATCGTTGTGAGTTTGAGAGCAGCCTGGGCTACAAAGTGAGCTCAAGTCTAGCCTGAACTGCATCGTGAGACCCTGTCTCAAAAAGACAAACAAAAAAATCAAACTGGCCTAAATCTGAAATTTTTCATGCTTCTACCAAAGAGAACACAAATAAAACCATATATGAGTCATCCCTTGTCATTATAAAATCAGAGAACACTCAAATTTTAAATTACTATAAGTAGAAAAGTAAACATCAGACACACACTAGTGCTGCAAGCCTGTGTACCCAGGAATTGGAACTGGATGGGGATACGAGCAAAGCACAGAGGGAACAAACCCAGAATGAGAGATTTCCATCCCATGATGTCAGCACTAGTCACCTGGTCCCAGTGCTGGCTATAAGGCAGAGTTGCAGGTGTGCACACCCTGGGTGGTTGACTCACATGCTTGGGAAGAAATAGAAAAGAGGAAATACCAATTGGTGATGTGGTTGTGAATGGAAGAAGGGAAATTCCAAAATGCTATAGAAAGAGGAATATGTACGACCAGCCTTTCCCAATCATTGTCTATTAAAGAGGCCAAAACAACAATAGGACAAGTGTGGAATAATCCTATATGAACCCAGTATTCTCTGATAAGGTAGAAAGAATACAAATAAAACAGTAGGGAAAAAAAGAGAAAAAGAAAAGTTTATTGTTGCGTATGTAATTATAAGGGGGGTTAGAGAACCTGATTTTAGCTAGACAGTCACAAATAGAGACAAAAAGCAGATAGTGAACCCTACTAAGTAACATGCAAGAGAGACAGGAATAGGGTAGGAGCGCAAGGATGTCTCACTCCGTATGTACCTTAGTATATAGGTTTGCCTTTTGGAATCATGCTAATGTTTCTCATACTCAAAATAATAAAATGAAATCAAGAAGAGGGGAAATTAAATTTGAAAACTATCAGACATAAATGACATGAACTAAATTTCAGGTGAATAGTATAACTGCACTACAGGTAGAGATGGAGAGCCAACCTAGTAACTTCTGAATGCAGAGTTTTTATTACATACCATCATCCTAAAGAAAAAAACATAATGAACTCTTCCTATTACTAGTTTTTACTGTGTAACATCCCAGTGTAACACTTTCGTATGCACTTGTGGATCAAAGAAACCAGTAAATACAATGATGTAGATAGACCTGGTTCTGACTATAAGAAAAGGGTGGTAAAGAATGAAAAAGGGAAGGCAAGGGAGAAAGAATTCTGTATGGCTTCACAAGTGTGCAGAAAGTAAAGGAAATCCTTCCACTGAAAGAGAATAGAAGCAGTGGCTTTTTCATAGCAGCTACACAAGGCAACACTCAGATTGTGATTTCCAAATATCACTTCCCAAAAAAGGAAGTTGGGTGTCTTGCACAAATGGCAGGACTGTTGCAAAGAAAATGTGAGATGGGCCTGAAACATTTACTTGTATCAAAAAAGAAAGAGATTTTTAAATGACGGCAATGTGTCAAAATGATACAGACACCAGCATAAAATGGCTTGCCTGTCCAAAGCTGGGACAATTTGAGTGTCAAAATTAATATTAGTAGGAATAATTTGAATAATAAGGGAATCTCTGTATATATATTAATAAGCAGAAAATATACTTTCTTATGGTAGAATATATTTGTAAATGTACAATAGCTACCCCTTATCCGTGGTTTTATTTTCCACAGTTTTAATTATCCATCACAGACTGAGGTGTGAAAATATTAAACAGAAAGTTCCAGAAATAAACAATCAATAAACTTTAAATTGCACACAATGCTGAGAAACATAATGAAATATTGTACCATGCTGTTTGAGATTTAAATCATTCCCTAGTTCAGTGTATCCATGCTATATATGCTACCTGTCCATTAGTCACTTAGTAGCTGTCTTGGTTGACAAATCACTGTTGAACTGTCACAGTGGTTTCAGCGAAGTAGCCCTTATGTCATGTAATAGAGACCCAAAATACAAGAATAATAATGCTGGCAATACTACCTTACAATAGTATGATTGTTTTATTTTATTCTTGTTATTCATCTTTTAGTGTGCCTAATTCACAAATTAAATTTTACTATAGATACATATGCATAGGAAAAGACATAGTATATAGTATTCTGTGGCTTATTCATAGGAATATCATCTGACAAGTGTGCCATTAAGCAATTTCATTGTTGTGCAAACATAGAATATATGTATACAAACTAAGACAGCTGCAATGTGACTAGGTGATATGATCTTATGAGAATATCATCATATAGGGCATTTGTCATTGACCAGACATGATTATAGCATACATTACTAAAGGTAGCATTACGTACTATTATTTATGGTGACTCAGTGGGGGACTCAGAATGTATACGCCACAGATTCTGGGAAATACTGTAGATACAATGGAGTTACAAATCACCATTTGCAGCTGAAGTAATCATAGAGTCAGGTAAAAATTACCCATAATTGCTCAAATAGGTAGGTGAAAATTTAATGAGCAATGGGATGTTTTCATAATCTCAAAATATCTCAACCAAAATTACATTTTAATTATAAAAGGAAAGGTAATAACTTTCTTGTGGCGAGATTGGGCAGACTGCTTTAAGCATGTGATGTAAATTTATGTATCTAGTAACAGGGCACATGGATTTCACGTGATTTGCATGATGAACTGAGAAAGATCCAATATCATGTCTGCAGTGTGCCAGCCAAACGTTCATGAAGAAGCTTCGGACAAACCCAAACTAAAGTCCAGGCGACACAATAACTACCCTCTCCTAGGAAGGCAAACAGGAGCAGGGAAGAAGAAAACATGGGAGTTGTTTCAGACTACAGGATATTGGGTGAATGACAACTATGATTCAGTGCAGTGCGTGATTGTGGATAGGACTGTAGACTGGAAAAATTTACTATACAGGACAAGTGATTGAGATAAGTGATGAAGCTGTAATAAGGACATAGGTCAAATTGTCACACTGTATTCTATGTTGCATGCAGTAGAAAACTAGACTGTGGTTGTTCAAGAAAGTGTCTTCGTTATTCACAGACACATAAGGAAGTATTCAAGGGTCCAGGTGGTGATGTCTACCACCCCGTTTCCAGGTGCAGAAAGAAATGAAAAAGAGAATGATGCAGCAGATATAGCATAACGTTAATGATCAGTGAATATGAAGGAAGACATGTGGAGTTTTTATACTACTCTTGCAAATTAACTGTAAGCTTAAAATTATTGCCAAATAAAAAGATTTTATAAGTGGATGGAGAAAACTTACGGAGGAGCAAGGTTCTGTGAATCATCAGAAAACGTGCCATATTATCCACACACTACTTTGGAGCACGAAGTCCAGATGCCAGGGAGGGTTGCAGTGAAGGAGTAGGTAGAGCCACACTTGCTTAGGGGAGACAAGTGGAGTGCTGTGAGTGATCATCGTCACAGTTCTGGGTGGGGTTGACTTGACTTCAGAGATGGTGACAGGGGCCACAGGGGCCGCAGTGGAGCCTCTTCACCAGGGCAGGCAGCAGATCTCGCACTGACATTTCACATCCCTTCTGAAATCAAAACACATACAGTGATTACTTGTTGCCCTCCTTACTGTTACACATGCTCTCCTATAACTATATTCAACATTCACATACTTATAGGGCTGTAAGGAGCACGACAGCAGTGATTAGAAGCCTGGGAAAAGGGTTGCTTAAGCATAGTTCAAATCTTACTTTTCTCAGTGTTTACTTATTTTTGAAAGTCATTGATAAACATTCAAATAGCATGTTCAGTTTACACTTGAAATTATGCTTTAGTGGCTTTACCTGGTATTTTTTTTCTGTGGTCTCAGCAAATACTGGGCTGTGAGAATGGGACAGGTCTTAATGAAGTGGATGAAGGCATTTTTTACATTTACATTTTCATAGAATGAGATAAACATTGTAATCTTTCTTCAGAACACTCTCACATCAAGCCATGATTTGATTTTCTACCTGTTCAGAATATCAAGTTTTGCATTTCTTCAAATTGTAATGCATTTTTGTGAGCAATTTGATAAGACAGAAGTCATCCCTGAGATATTTATAATAGTACTTAGAACAGACTTGTCAAAGGTACTTCTAAAAGATTATTTTGGATCCTGAGGAGATATATTTAGTAACTGTATTGAGTAAGTTGTCACATAACACAACATTTCATTGATTTATTTGTCTTATTTTTGTATCTTACTGCAGGCAGAGAATTCAGCATTGGCTTTGGAAAATGAAAATCAAAGAGAACAGTATGAGAGATGTCTTGATGAGGTAAGGTGAATGGAAAGGCCTGCAACAGGAAGCCAGACTTGTTGAGATTCTTTTAATCAGGTCTTAGTACATGAGTATGATCAGCCTCCACCGAACATTAGCATTTTCTTCTTCAAGGGGAAGCTATGATCATGCGCCACTGAGAAGGAAGACTGGAGTGTGCGTCTTTCTCTTTCTCCCTGTCTACCCATCCCCTTCCTCCCTTCAGTCTTCCCTAATTCCTAATACAGGAACCAGTGAATTTCCTTTTGGTTATTGCTGTATATTCCTGGGACATAACTGGCATATGCATCGTTGTCCGATCAATATCTTCCATCCAGTGAGTGATCCCTCCCTATGAATGGGAATCACCATGTTGGATCAGGGTACATCGTAGCTGCAGTTGGATGCCATTGCTGAAAAAGCAAACCCTTGATAGAGTGGCCAGGCACAATGACTACTTTTGGCCGCCGGAGTGGGGGGAAATCAGGAGATTGAGCGTGAGTGAAAAAGGGAAGAGGAAGGAGGAAGAACATTTGAATGAAATGGAAGAAGACAGGGTCACATGCATGAGTAAACTCAATAGATAGTATTTGATGATAATGGAGTGATAAGAGCAAAGATGGTGAGCATTTGAGAATTTCTAGGAGATGAGGGAAAGGTTGGAGTGCATGCAAATCCCTCATTCTCTCCCTGCTGTTCCCTCACACTGTCACACGTCCTGCCCATGATCCTTGCTCTGTCCTCCTCCTGCCAGGACTGGCCATTCACCTCCCTGAGCAGTCCTCTGCTGGGACTTGTCATGATCGGAGCTAGTATTCAAATGGAGTAACTTCTTTAGGCATCTGCTCAGTGTGCTAAAATATATTCTGGAAGATACAGTTTGATATTTATTATACAGTGGCTGATACAGATTTTTGAGAAAAACAAGAAAAAACTGTGTTTAACCTTGTTCTGCTACCTTCTCAGTAGAGCTACCAACATATCCTCAGTCTTTTCCTCCAGTTAACAATTACAAAATCTTTATCTAACAAACTCCTCCTGATATTTCTGCCCCTTTCTAGCTCCTTCTTATACCACCTGCTCTCCCAGAAGTTGGTGAGTCGGACACTTAAGAATACAGGCTCAAATCCAGCTATGACACTATATCGCCTCCATGTACCTCTTTGATCCCTTCAGACTGAAGTCGTCTCTGTGTCCTGAGTACTAGTCATGCTCAGGGCTTTCTTATGCCAGTAGTTCTTAAAATATAATCTCAACCCAGCTGTGTTACCCAACCCCCGCTGACCTTGTGAGAGATATAGAGCCTCTGACCCACCCCAGACCCCCGGAGTCAGAGATAGGGGTGACTCGGTAGTCCATGTGTCAGCAAGCTCTGTAGCTGGTATTGGTGCTCACTGCGCCTGCAGTCCCAGCCTCATAGCACAAACCACTTGGTATTCATTTCTTACTAGTGGTAGGAAAATGTACAGAATGGTTTAATATTCAGTATTTTAATTATGTAATGTTTTCCAGCAGTATGAATTGACTACTTACAGAAAATAGAGTTTGTGATCCTCTGCCTTGCCAGGATTTAAAAAAGAGCAGAATAATCTCTACAGTGCCCAAAGTTAAAAGAATGACAGCAAGTTAGTTGATGTAGAGGTGCATAAAGTCTCAGTAAATTCTGCAGCCCTCTCCCCTGCCTCCAGGCTCTTAGTCCAAAGAAATTTAGAGCAAGAAAAACCAATTAGATCCAACGGGATAGATGAATGGGTTGACTGACTGACTGACTGACTGACTGACTGACTGACTGATTGAGACAGGCTCTCTCAGTGTAGTTCAGGTTGGCGTTGAAGTCATTATGTAACCCACACTGGCCTAGAGCACTCAGTAGTCCTCCTGCCTCAGCCTCTCAAGTACTGAGATTGCAGATGCAGCCACTATGCCCAGCAACTTAGGAGTATTTAAAGGAACAAATAATGCCCTTGAGTTATATATATCGATCAGCAAAATTTCACTTTAATCTCCAGCATAGAAATTTCCACTGAGACTTTATCTATATTCAGAATTCCACGGAGACTCCTTATTTGTCATGATTCTCTGTTATTTCTTCCTCTCCTAGGCAGGGACTCACATCATTTTCCTGTAGAACCCAGACAGTGTTTTCTATGTGTTCACCATTCCGGCATTGTGTAAGTGTTGACAGCCAAAGCATGTCAGCCAAAGCATCTTTTCATCCGCAGAATCACTTCATATACTCTCCGCTGACAGTAGAATTTTTAGACGGAGAGTCTCTGTGTTCATAATCACAAAAAATTAAATGTTGCCAAAGCAGTAGTTTGTAAAAACAAACCACCTCTGAGCAATGTACATGTTTTGTATTCATGAATCCTGTTCCTGATTACACATGCCAGTTGTTTTGTAACTAATTGCATGAAGTAGACAATCCATTTCTATGCATTGTAGGAGAACGCTCTCAAAGGGGTAGTTCAACGTAGTAATAATGCCAACTGGAAATTCTTTTCAAGGCTTTTTATACTAATTAGACAAACTAACAAGGAAAGGCCGCATGTAAGTTATTTCCTTGCTAGTAGGTTTCATAAAACATCCTCAGGTGGTTAACATGTAAATTTAAAATGTTCCTCAATCCCTTCTGTACTGATTGTTATTTTCTGGGAAATGGAGAACATACTGAGGATTTGGGGAAAACACTTGGGAGTCTGAAATTCCCTGTTTGTTTTCTACTAAAAGAGTATTTATTCAGCAGTAAGAAAACCCAAATGCATTGAGACACACACCCACACATCCCTGGCTTGGTAAGCATGCGTACACACACACACACACACACACACACACACACACACACACACGCACACACACAAGCACGTAAACACACATCTGTGCACATGCACACTCCCCATTACCTTCACTGCCCCTGTCTCCTTGCAGGTTGTTGCCTGGCGCTACAATGACAAAACCATAGATTATTCTCATTTTTTTTACTTGAGAATTTGGAGGTTTTTGTGCTTGAGTCCAGTTTTTCAGTCTAGCTGTTTGACAGGCAGTTTACTGGCAAGCAGTGAATTACTGTTTATTCGCAGAATTGCCTTGGCCACAATTCCCTTCCAACCAACTAGTCCCATGTAGGAAAGTGTAATGGCACATATAAAATAAGTAAATACCACCTCCTCAAGCCAGCGCAGTGCGCTTAGAAGGAGTCTGTGGAGTGCTGTAGACTTTTACTGGGTGTCAGCCTCTCACAGGTGCTGGGAGCTCCTTGGTGCTCTCAGACCACTAGGAGTGAGAAGGACGGTGGCCACAGAGGATAGTTGTGTGAAAAACTTGCCTAGGAGCTTTAAAAATGCTGCAGTGCGATCCCACCCCAGAGATACTGATCTGCTTCAGCTCTGGGGTGGATCCTGGGCATGTGAGTTTTTTAAAACACTCCAGAGCATTGCAGTACTCAGTAAGGTTAAGAACCACTGCAGTGAGGCCCTCTGAGTGCTTCGCTGTGGGGAGCGATTCACAAAGTGCACAAAGGAGGGTGATAACGTGGGGACAAACTTGGCCGTAGCAACAGAAAAGGACAGATCCACATGAAAGGCCTTCATTATTTCTGAGTTAATACAAAGTGACAAACCAAAATATAGGCCTCATCCAGCATTTCCTGAAACCCTTTTTAGTACTTGGGAAAGGAAACTGGCAGTTTCACAGACCTTATAGATAGTGGAGCTTCTGCACACAAAACTGGAGAAGCTGCCCTGACCTTCAGAGCAGCAGACTGGGCCAAGGCCTGAGAGTCAGCAAGGATGCTGTAGCTGAGCTCCTCTCCAGCCCCTGCAATTTGACCACAAGGACTGAGAAAAGGAGACCACTCAATGTGGTTTAGACATAGAGGCAAAAAAAGCACCACCATTTCTTTTAAACCAAAGCTGAAGACAGAGGTAGGTTATTAAGATCAGTTCTTATCTGTCTCTCTGATCCATATGCCGTGTGCTCCACTGGACTGTGGAATTATTACCAGGATGTTCTCAGGGTATACCCCACATCTGGGTGCTGTGTAATCTTTAAAATCAATCCCTCGACAGATATAGTTGGAAAAAGATCTCTTTATGGCTTTCACATGCTATGTGTGCCTACATCATCAACAGATGATCTCCTCCTTCTTGTCTGCCCTGGAATCTAACCACCTTGAGATGGCACCTACATTCTACTTGCCATGACTTCTTCATGATCCAGCGTGATTTTTGGCCCACACTAGGTATTTAGTGCATATTTGTTAAATGACTTTAAATGAATCAGTGGAGACTAGCAGCAGGAAATTAATTTCTAAATTAGTTTTCCTGAAATCTCACATACATATTTGGAGTAATTTCTTCAGTTATCTCCTCAGAGATGAACAGTCATTTATTATGCCCAACCTCAAAGATAATCCAAAGGCTAAATCAGCTCAAATGAAAATTGTAGACCCACATAAAACTGGTTTAAATTAGACTGTGTGGGCTTTGGATTAGGAAGACTTGATTTCAAACAGGCACGGTCCTCCTCATCCTGTGGTGTTTGGGGACATGTGTTTAGTTCTTTGAGTTTATCATTTATTTAATTTTTTTTTCTCCGGTACTGGGAATTGAACTCATGACCTCGTGCTTGCCAGGCAAACGCTGTGCCACTGAGCTAAATCCCCAGCCCCAAACTTTACCTTATAGGATCTATATATGTACATGCTCATTCCTTTACAAATAAATCTTCCTACGCTTAAGCCATTCTTTT